AGTCAGAAGGCAAATGACACTGAGCTTCCGGCGGGTGCACACCTAACCGGCGAAGTGCTCATCAGGCATTTGAAGATCTCAACAAGCAGAGTGCTGCGAAGGGCAACCTGAGCAGGAAAGAGGACTGGTCTTTGTCGAAAGGCGGACAGCGCTGAGAGCGATCAATCGGAAATTCTTGCCAGCGGAAATTCTTGCCAGGAAAATCGGGCTGGAAACGATACGACCGAATATTACGCGCTTAGAGCATGGAGTCGTACATTATATAACTGAGCTAAGGCTTGAGCATCGGGACCGCAAGAGGCGACGCAGGTGAAGATCCTGAGCGGACAAAACAGCTAACCAGTGCGTCGGCAGCAGCTCCACTGATTCACTTCCCATGACCATCATCCTGACGCATGGAGTACACCGTCCAGTTCAGCCTCAGTATACAGGGTGGGGGATCCCGAAGGCCCACTGAACAGCAGCCCCGGGTTCGGCCTCGATGTGTAGCAAAACGGCTTCCGCGCTCTTCTTGAGCTGATAGCCGGTGGCTTCCGCTTCAAAGCCGTCAAGGCTTGGTGGCGATCACGCCATCAAAGAGGCTGACCGACCACCTGCTTTCGATGCTCAGAAACGAGGCGAAAGCTCTCACGAAACTCTTCCCCAGCCCGCAGGCCAAAAAGCGTTCGCAATGGATTCGAAAGCGTCACACAAAGGATTGGGATAAACCTGAGCGAACTTCGTGTGAGGCTCCTCTTCGGGAACTTGGGCATCGATGGAGGGTTGGCTTGAGAATTCTCCTCATCGACCCTTGTCCAAGATGTCGAGGACAAGCTGTCGTCCCATCGAGCTTATGCATTCCACCTTTGCCGTTCGAAAGCCGCACGGAACCTGCCACTTGCACCCGCCATCGAGCACTGCCCAGGCCCAACACAACAGGGGAAACAAGCCAAGAAGACCTGGTATATAGTGCTCGAGCGGCGACTAGTCGCCAAAATGGCAATGTAGGAAAACAAGTGATCGAACAATCAAGACTGAAGCTGAACAGCCTTCCCTCGAAACATGAAACCATCACACTGTACAACACCATTCGCATGCGTTCAAAAACTTGCATTTGGTGCTGTACCCCGAAAATTCCTGAACGATTCGAAGGTTGATCACCAGCCCTCTCGCATCTAACGGTTTTGTGTGCTTCTAGGTGTTTCTCTGTTTCGCTCATGGTAACAATCCGTCTCAAACGGAAGTTCCGCTAAGTTGCCAGATCGGCGAGTCCCCCAGGATCTTGTCGCAGTAGTGCTTGGTCCATTCATGTCGCGAGGCTAAGACCTGGTCCAGGCCGATGGACAAAGGATCATTGCACGGCCTGGTGTTTTCACCATGGCACGGCCGATTGGCGGCCGTTTGGCGGCCGGACGCTCTTTTGAACAAAGGACACCTTACCATGCGTCATTGAAGGGCCTAAAAAAGGGTGTTGGACCTGGCATTCTTAGCTTTGAGGCCGAAAAAAATGCACAACGACCCATGTGGCGCCGTGGCGCCACACGCGGTTCACCGCTTCAACCGGACAGGTCACCGCTAGTTGCGGCGGTCCGGATCAGTCACATCCCATTGTGGTCGTTTGGCCCATGGGTTTCACCGAACGAACTAGTGTGTTTTTCTCAGAAATCCCTTTAACAAGCGTCTAAGAGTACAACTTTTTTTTGGACAGTCAAGAAACGGAAAGGCTCAAAGAATGCAACAGATGTCAAGAGAAAGAACATGCCCAAGCTCTAGCCTCTCTAGAAGTCATCACCCTTCAATGAAGACGATCTCCAAGTCTTAATTCAAGTCTTCTTTTTCGGCGCTTCCGTCCCTCCCGGGCGCGTCGCAAAGAAAAATGCTGCCGACTGCTAGAGCCCGTGGTCGTGCGCCTGACTCACGGCTGTCCATGCTGGAGGCCAACTGAGCAGCTGCTCCACCACCACATGCAAATCCAGCAAAAACCTTGGCTGGTTTGGTTTCGACGAATCATGTTCCTCCGTGGGTTCAATCATCCCAAGTGGTTCAAACATAGACTTCTCCGAACCCCCCCGTCGGAAGAGAGCGACCGCGGCGCACCGTGAGGGGGTCGCTGGATTCGGTCGTAAAAGCCTTCTCCCCGAGATGCTCTTCTGATCTTCGGTTCTTCAAATTGGAAGACCCAACAAGAAGGAAAACACGGAGACATGCCAAAGAGCATTTCGCTGGTGAAGTCGGCGCCATTCTCCGCAGCTTTGCTCAGGCCTGGCGAAAAAGCCCTTGTTGTACCACAGGCCTGGTTGTTTGGTTGGTGACGTTTGGACTCTTGCGGTTGTTTGGTAAAGACCATCATTGAAACTTTGAAACCACTGCTTGTTGGAAATCCAGGAGAAAGTAAGTCAATCATCAAAGGACCGGGGAGGTGTATCTCAGGTTGGATGGGCGAAGAATATTCGGGCGTGTTTCGAATAACGAGACATCATCCTTCAGGGGCCTCTCATCCCAACACCCAGCGTGCTGCTTCCATTTTGTTACCGTTTTCCAGTATTCGCCCCATTGGGTTTTCCAGTATTCTTCTTTCTTAACTGTGTGGATGCGGGCACCAAAAGTTCCGTGGAACCCGCTCGACTCTACTACCCATCGGCGATCCAAACATGGAGTCCAACGGGATTCATTGCTCCAGTGCTGAGGACTTGGCGCCCCAAGACACACCCGAAAGTTCGAAAGAAGACTGCGCCTTCGAGCAACTCTTTGATGTCGGGATAGCAAAAGACCGAAGGTTGTCCACGGTTCATTTCACAGGCCTCGCACGTGAACGTTCGATCCGGGAGCGGAACAGTTCGCTCGTTCGTGGGACGTTGTAGGCTTTCACCCAAACGGCTTGACGACGGGCTGCGGCTGAGGTGGCTCCCAACTGAGGATCCATTTTCCTGACGATCGGCTCGTCCAAAAGAAACCTCCACAAACCGGCTCGCCGGACGGGTGTGATGCATCTTCATGGGTTGGGCGTGAGGCCATGCGCCTTTTTCTGAAAAGCAGTCTGCTCTGGAGAACCCTACAACCCTACAACAGCCTGGATCTTGACCTGGTCCAGCAAAAATTGGTTTTTGTATGATGTGTTCAATGGATCCTCTCATGTCATCCTCCGAGTGATGGCACTTCTTCCTCGTCCACCTCCAATGGCTTTCCGGATCAGATCCAATCGTGTCCATTTGTTGCACCCTACTGCCGCCATCTCTGCGCGCGCGCAAAAACGCGCAAAACGCCAGCGCCCAGCAGTGGCAGCTTCTAGGAAGCCCGGCCTCCTGGAAGACCTTCTCAGTGGTCTTCCGCCAGGGAGGCCCCCGCCGCGCAAAGCCGCCGCCCATCCCCGGAATACCTGGGGAACGTGCGCAGCGTCGACCAAGCGACCACGGTGCCAGTGCTCCCGAGGTTTGGTGCACCCAGATTGCTTGGGTTTGGAAAGCTGGAAAGCTCACTCAAAGACTTCTCGGGTGTACGGTACGGGAACCTGAAACAGACCTCAACACCATGTACGTCGCTCTTTGAAGAAAGTCAGCTAGCTTCGTAAGTCTTCTCTTCTCGTTGCCACACGTGTGGTGCTCACCTGAAGGCATCTTCGGCATCTGATGTGGTGCCGCCCACACGGAGGAGAGAAACACACCAAAGCGGAGAAGGACCGCCATGGCGCCGGAGGTCGTCGCAGCGAATCCTTGCAAAATCGGTGAACCCACATGTACGTGACAAATCCTTGAGGTCTGCGTCCGACAGGATGTGGGACCTGGGATCCTTCAAGAGAGCCTTCTTTCAATCGGCGTTGGGTCCCACAGCGCTTGTGACAGATGGAAGCTAAGCTGTGGATTCAGGATGATTCAGGTAGCATTGAGGGTTCAGTGGGTGCATACTCCAACGTTGACTGTGTTAATTTGGCCCACAGTCGATGGGCAGTTGAACCCCAACCATATGAGTCTCGAATCGGGATGGCTTGACGCTATACTTGACGCTAAAGCAGAAGGAGTTCCTTTTGCCCTGTCCTGCCTATGATTGAACCATTAACTAGCTTCAATTTGATCCTTTTGAACGGACAGAGCCACACAACAGAACTTGGCTGCTCAAATCAGTGAATGCGTCATCTATATTACTATTCAAAGCGCATGGAAGATCATCAGCCTGATCTCCATTTGCTACAGTCCCCATGTTGCAATTCGATGCACATGCCACGCTTCACCCGCCTTGTCTTCATCAAATTCCCTCAGTGTGACTTCCGGTGGTGCGAGTGGGGGATTTTCGTCCGGGCCGTTTCTGTGGCCACGCCGGCGCTGGGAGCGTTTTTGTTTGTGAGCGAAACACACCGAGCACCGAGGCCATCCTAGGGCCTGGTTTTTGGCCCCTGATCAACTGACTCTTTATTGTTTCGTGGGCATTCACAAATGAAGGTATCTGGTTAAAAGGATTCCCAAGACCGATGGCCCAGCCGGTTCTGCAAAAACACTCAGAGTGCCACGTCTTCTTCAAGGGGTCCAAGACCTGCGATCGGGGTCGCAGCGGTCAGGCAGGGGGTCATGGCGACAACACCGGTCATGCCCATGGTAGACTCTTATTTCAACTCCAGGTATCAAGAGGTTTGTCAATCCATGTCTGGATGGGTTTGATTCATCAAGAGTCTAGAGCACTTGCTAAAGCGTCCCACAACAAATGGGCCGACGGTTTCAATCCACCCTTTGAAGCCCCTGTAGTTGAAGGGAAGTCTCCTGAAGCGATGACGGTGTGCTACTTGGCAGACGGCAATGTACCAAGAGTTGCTCGCAGTCTTCACCCCAGGTCTTTCCACAGGTTTGCCCCCACAGACGCATGCAAGAAACCGTCTCTGCTGTCTTTATTAATTATGCTGCTGAAAATCAGGTGTTTGCAGCCAACAAGACGAGGCAAGTACTCAGCATCTCCACACTGCTCTCGCGACTGCTCTCGCGACCGCTCTTCAGCTACTGCTCGTCCGAAAAGGCCGAAAACCTCCCAGCGGTCACCGTGTGTTCTTTGCTCCGCGGCCGAAACGGGCCGAAACTGCCTCGTCGTTGATGCTGCTGAGCTCGGCGAAGCCCTTCGGAGCCCCCCAGAGGTCCTGTCGGCGGTCGTCGAGGCATCGGCCAGGAAACGAAGAGACCTTTGCTTCCGTTGGAGCGGCGGAGCCGGGGGTTGGGAACTTCAGACCGAAGTTTTAGGTCGTCGAGACAGTTGTAGGTTTTGAGGCGCTGAGAGATGTGGTTAAACCATCATAGGTGGTTTCCGCATGTTTCGGCAGAAGAACCATGAAGAACCCCTCGAGGTTGTAAACCTCACAAGGAATTCTGGAATGTCTCCTGTCCTCGTGTGCGCTAGATCCCAGATTCCCTGCTGGGTCTCTATCCCAGATAGGGTTCACTTGCGGAAGCGAGCACAGGAAGCCCCTGTCAGTCCCAAGTCTCCGAAAACCCCGGGCAGCTGGAGCTGTTCTGATTGAGGGCCCAAGCGAGTAGTTTCGCCATTTTTGCGGGGTACCCGGTGACCATGAACCCCCAGCTCCTCCACAAAAGTATGCAAAAGTGGAGATGCGAAACACCGCACCACGCATCCAGCGTTTGGGGGACATCCAAACGGAAAAGAAGGAGCTTGTGTCTCTCAATGTGTTTCCAGTCCAAAAGACCCCAAAGTTGGGTAAAATGGAAACCACTTCACCAAGGTGGCAGGCTGGACCAAACACACCCGGAAGCTGGACCATCCAACGAAAACGCGGGACCGTTGCGACCCGTGAGAATGGACTTTTCCAGGTGCTCCCCAGAGTGTACGCTTCGTTGACCAAAACGTTCACCGAATGAATGCTTCTCAACGAAAGTGGCGCTTCTCAGCGAAGACGCACCGAACATCTCCCAAAGCGGCACCTGATGTCAGGTGAATGGCACATGATCCACGCCTGCTACTTGCTCCAAGGCCATATGAGTATAGGATCAAATCAACCTCCTCTGCCTGGTGCTGATGGCGCCGCCTATGTAACCCAACGTGCTTGCGATCTAGTCAGCGGGTCAACAAGCTTGCACCGAAAGGCTCAACGCTTCCTGCTCATCCTCCGGCACGTCCAAGTTCAGATCATCATCATACTGGCGAACACCCGCCTCTCAGCAGGCTGGGCTGGGACTGGCTGGACTTCCACGTGTGGGAATGATGTGGAAGAATCCAACACCCAATGTAGACTGTTGATAAATCAACCCCCCATTTTGGGGTGCAAAAACCTCTTCAACTCTTCATATGGGTGGTTGAAATCGTCTGGTCTACAGAGTCAGAACCCTGACACCGAACCTTTCTGGGCTTTCCTCCCGTCAAGACTAAGGACTCGGAAAGCATGTCGAAAACCGGATTCCTTCGGCTTTTCTGCCTGAGGTCTGTAAATGGATTCACTCTTTCTTCTCACCAATTGCCTTGCAAGTCTGCCAAAAGTATGCCAAGTAGATCTAAGTAGCAGATTCTGCTGCATGGTTTCTTCCACATGAGTGAAAGATTCTTTCAAAGCTGTTCCTGGGGTGCCGGGCCTGGGTACCTACCAGATCCTACCAGGCCACCAAAGGTTTCTCCAGAAACCGGCCAAAAAACACCACCCTCACTACCGCTCCTTCCAGCTCCAAAACCGCCTCAGCCGTGCCCACCCGTGGCGCCTCGAAGAGGGCCTGGTTGTTCTCCTCAGGCGTCGGCTCCAGCTTGAAGGGATCCTCGGCGACGCGTCGCGACTTTGGTTCACCGGTCGTGACCGGAGGGCCGGGCGGCCGAGAGACCGTGGAGTCACTGCCGATGGCTGTCCAAAAAGGGGAGTCAACGGTAGTTCTGTGCTCAAGATTGGCCAGATCTGATGTGCTCCAATAGATTCTTCTTTCGTTACCGAAAGGAAGCGATCCACCCACTCTTCACCGGCCGATTCCCCGCGGTGAAACTCCACCGGATCGGCCTCATTCATCGTCAGAGTCCGCTCTAGGTCTCGTTGTGCCTGAAGCTGAGCAGGTCGGCCCTGGAGCCCTGGTCGATCAGGCAGGAGGGTTTTGGACCTAAAACCGTACGCCATACGTAGATATTATAGATATACGCATGTATACGCATCATCAAGAATTGGAAAAGCCTCAAAGAAAACTTTGAGGTGTCCAAGAGATAAGGCTCAACGCAGCAACTCAAGGAATAGTTGGATGTCTTCACGGCTGTTACTCAAAATTCTTATTCTCCTGGTTCCACCATATCTTTGGAGCCCATGTTCAACTATGCAGAGAAGAAGGTATCACTTGTGGAAGTCAGACTCTTACTCCCTGCCACCCTCTAGCCTGACTCATTAAACCAGGGCGCAAGGCAGCCATTGTTGTTCATTCCACGCTTCGAACCCATGTGAACCTTTTGAAGGCAGGTGTAGCATGGCTGATCACCTGCTTCCCGCTTTCCAGCGGAAAATCACCAAATCGATCAACACCGGCTTCGCTGAGCCATCACCCATGTCTCAAGTGTCTCACTTCAGAACACCCATGAAAACCAGTGACGCTCCTTGGCGACTAGAAACTGGTCTTCTCCGCTTCGAAGACACTGAGGGTACCCGACTTCCTGTGCTCCACAGCACCAACGATCCAATTTATGGGTTTCCCCTGACACCTCATCTGCCGGGCCTGGGAGATGTCCGCTTCCTCTTGTGTTTGCACTTGTGTCTCCAATGGAGGAGTGGTGATCTCCTCCCCAGGAGGACCTGCCAGGCTGTCCATGTGAAGGAGAAAGCGTCATCTCAGTTCGGTCGTTACGTATGTTCACATCACCTTCTGCGGGGAAAAGCCACCATGTCGACAACCCATGATATTGCAACCCTCTAGGAAAATAACTATCAGGTCATGTAAATGTAGGATCAAGAAAAAAGTGAGTCTGAGTTATATATATATATATGTGTATATATATGATCCACCAAACATGGGGGAATGCCTGCTTCAAAAAAAAGATAACACCAATAGGCCTAATTCTATGAAACTCAAAACCCTCTAAATCCGCTGGCCACTGGTGCTTATATAATCGAAAGGAGTTTCATGTTGAAGGAACTTTGCGACCAACTGGGTCCCCACCTTCTTCGGGTGGCGGCAGCGGTGGTTCGTCGGGCTCCAGCACTGCCTGGACCTGCCGGGACTGTGAAATCGGAAGAATTCTTCCGAAAAAGGACCGTCCAAACCCTGAAAAGGACCGTTCAAAATAGAACCTCAGCGCTAAATACATGGGATGCTCGACACCGTGTCAGGGCGGCGAAACATGGGATGCCCGACACACCGTGTGGGATTCTCGGGCTTCCCACCTAGGACCTGGTCAACATCTGCGAATTCGAGGGACCAGGTCCTTGCCAGACAGGTCAACCTACTTCTTGGGACCAAGCAATCCATTCTCCAGGAGTCGATGGCACATCACTTTGGGACCACTGGGCATGACGGCCCGGCCCTCTCACCACACGTCCCGTGGTGGATTTGCGTGAGACGGCGGCGCGAGGACTTCGTCCACCGCAGCGGGCCATGCGACATGATCCGACAAAAAGAAAGGCCACCCTGATGCAGGTTCCCTGGACGTCCAGCACAGACTTTGGTTTCAGGTACAAAAGTCACGGACAATCTTCGTGCCTCGGAAAAATCCGTGGCAAACTCCGCCTTCAATTTGGCCTGCCAGGGTGCGACAACGCCATGGTTCATTGTGTACGAAAATATTTCACTCTGGATTGGGGTACGTATTGGGTTTTGAAGCATTGCATACATGGTTTGGGGGCAAAGATATTCAGTTGTTCAGTTTCGGCCTCTTCAGAGTCCGACATGGCCACCAAAAGGGAGGACTTAAGGAAAGCAATGTTGAAGAACATGGATTTTTGATTGACGGGTGCTTCCAGGCTCTTGTCCATGAACAGGATGTGCTGTTAGGACTTCTAAGTTTGGTGCCACTTGTTTCCTGGCAGCTCCAGGACTTCGTGCCAAAGTATGTCACAAGCGACAGACTTGTTCCCGACCTTTAGACAATAGTTTTGGCGAAACCTCAAACGGAAGCGGATGCACTTATTCGTGTTAGCATTAGCATACTCATGGGAACCAAGTCGACCATACTCGCGGGTGCACCTGTAGCGGGTGGTCTCGCTTCAGCTGTCCAAGGAGAGCCTTGGCGAACATATGGACCACCCGATCCCCATGTTGAATCCATTGGCCACCAACCACTACTTGTCGACTGCGCAGGTCGGTCTTCATTCTCCTGCTACTCTTCAATCTCTATTTCGATCTACCTCTCTCTTTGCTTCAACCTCTTTATCTCCTTCCCCGTGATTTCATCTACAGCACATATCTTTACATCTGCACCCGTGTCTACTTTCTTTACTTTCGTTCTCCTTATTTCTCCTTCATTTTTCTTCGCTTGCGCTGCTCTGAATGCTCACCGACCGTGTCAGAAAAAGGAACCGTGGAAAACGTCATAGAGACTGCAAATCCGTTGGCGCTCAGCCATTGGGAGTCTCTGAAGACCTCTGAAGCGTGTGTGTGTGTGTCACACTCTGTTTCAAAGAGTTTTCCACAAGCAGGGGGGCAGAGAGGACTTGCAAGGCTCTGCCCAACGAAGCTCCTTGCAAGATCCTAGGAAGTGGAAGCTGATCACTTCCGTGTACCTGCACCTTTTGAACTTTTGTCCAAGCCGTGACTCTACTTCTCCATTTTTTGTTTCATGGTTCTTGCGTGATACTTCCCCCCAAACCCGTTTCCCACCGCCGCCTTCAGCCGCTTGTGAGCTGTCTTTGAGATTCTGCAAATGCGCGTAAACCATTTTTTGAAACACCTTCAAGTGCTTGGACGCCTCACCTTTCCATTGAGCCATTCTTTTCCTCGGGGAATTGATGTAACTGCAAGCCCATTGTCTAAGTGTGTGCGAGTATCGTCTAACTGATTAACTTTTTCTGCACGCGTGGAATTATCTTAACTGACTTTCGTCTCACTCACTGTATTCTCAAAATCAAAACCGCCGACCCCAATCCCCCCCTCCCTCTGATTAGGGTAACAGAGGGAAATGGTACTCGACACACTTGTGCGTCGGTGCCTTTCCCTCTGTTGTCCCTTTTCTAGTCTACTCTACCCGGGCAGTGTAAGACTAAAGTCCCGCTCCCTAACTATTGCACCTAATTCACTTCGGCTAAGTAGTCAGTAACTCTAGGTATTCACACACACACACGGACACACACATGTACATACACCTCCCTCCCCCCACTTTCTTTCTTGCGCTTTTTGTCGTTTCTTGGGCTTTCTCTCAGGCTTTTTAGGTTGTTCTTGAGGCGCGTTTCCCTACCCCAGTAAAGGGCTAAGTAGTCACTTTTTGCTACCCCTATCTTTCTCTCTTGCCCTTTTAGCGCTGCTCTTTCTGGTTTTCTTTCTCTTGTTTCTAAGGCTTTTTAGGTGCCTATTTAGGTCCTCCGCGAGAGCGCCGCAAAGCGGCCGAGTGTGTGTGTGTGTCACACTCTGTTTCAAAGAGTTTTCCACATGCAGGGGGGCAGAGAGGACTTGCAAGGCTCTGCCCAACGAAGCTCCTTGCAAGATCCTAGGAAGCGGAAGCTGATCACTTCCGTGTACCTGCACCTTTTGAACTTTTGTCCAAGCCGTGACTCTACTTCTCCATTTTTTGTTTCACGGTTCTTGCGTGATACTTCCCCCAAACCCGTTTCCCACCGCCGCCTTCAGCCGCTCCTGCAGATGCGCGTAAACCATTTTTTGAAACACCTTCAAGTGCTTAGTGCTTGGACGCCTCACCTTTCCGTTGAGCCATTCCTTTCCTCGGGGAATTGAAGTAACTGCAAGCCCATTGTCCAAGTGTGTGCCGCTGCGTCGTCCCACTGGGTGCACAGTGCGATCCTCTCGCAAGAGAGGCGCCGAGACCATCGTGGATCACATGTTGATTCAGCGTTTTCTGCACGCGTTGGATTATGGTTCTGGAATCCTCTTTGTTCCACCCATGACTCAACCGATCGCAAAGCGGCCGCGATTACGTACAGAATGCCGCCGGACTTACGGAGAATGAATTTTCACCCCTCTTCTCTCTCTCTCTCTCTCTCCCTCCCCCCCTCTCATTGGGGTAACAG